TAATTAGATTACTTTACAAGTGTGCCCTTATAATGCATTCTGGCTCCAATGAAAACTGGGACAAGATCTCCAGCAGTGACCTAACCGAACAAACTAAACTGGAACAAGCTAAACAATGTCCATGTTCTCTTTGGTCTGATCCCATTATCTGGTTTTAAAGCATTAATATAGAAAACACAATGTCTTACACAATGCCACGGACTTTAAACACTGGCCTAATTTGTTACAACTGGAAACAGCAATTCTAAACTGGGATTGCCTTCTCTGTGTTATCATGTGCTTCTCTTTGTATTGTTTCAAATTGCTGGGAGAAAGCATGAAATGAATTTTGGCTTTCCAACATGTGAGACGAAGGTATAGGACCAGCAGCGAAGTGTTTCCTAGATTTCACTGCAGTGCTGTTATAGCCTTTGCATAGCTGGAACAAAAGATCAAATGCAAAAGGCCATTTAATTTTCAAAATGAAGAAGTGTCAAAACAAGGAGGGTAGGGAAGGATATCAGATGACTAATTAGGCAACAGAAGTCACAGGCTTTGTGCAAAGTCAGACAAATGCTTAACAGTATTAATGCAATTGTCTTGTGAAATTTTCCATCCTGCAATACTATAATCAGTTCGAAAAAGTGACATTACTCATGCATCCTACTGCAGTGGGTGCACAGATTAGGACCTTCAGGAGAAACTTGCTCTCAAAAATATGGTTCTTGACAGATAAAGCCTGTAACAAAAAATTATCTCAAAGGGATGACAGTTCAGTTAATCTGTCAGTATAGGCCATGTGCACATGGAGGAAACAGTGGCAATCATGCAAACTGATTTCAGAGGACTGTAGGTGATGTTCCTGGTGCTAAAAGTCACCTGTGCTAGCACTCTTAAATGTGACATAACGTCACTCCTGACACTTCATCCTGAGACTTTAATCCTGTATTTGCAGCTATTTTTATCTTTCCAGACCTTTGCAACCTAAGTCACAAAAGAGGTGAAGAAAGCAACAGTAAAAGGGGGAGGTAACAGAGAAAATGTTTCCTCCTTATATTGCAGTAATTTTAGGTTCCTCATCTGTCTATGGATAAAGCAAGCTAAAGGAACGAATAATTCCTGAAACAACACATACATCTTTCAAAACTGCTTGATTATCTGAAGAAAGTCAAGATTATTAGTAGTGTCTTTAGGTAAACTATTATATCATAGAATCACAGAATATCTTGAGTTAGAAGGGACCCACAAGAATTATTGAGTCCAACTCCTGGCTCTGTGCAAGACACTCCAAGAATTCCACCATGTGCCTGAGAGCATTGTCCAAACGCTTCTTGAACTCTGTCAGGCTTGGTGCTGAGACCACTTCCCTGTGAAACCTGTTCCCGTGCCCAACCACCCTCTGGGTCAAGAACGTCTTTCTAATATCCAACCTAAACCTCATGAGGAAGCTGTGGACTGCGATGAAGTCTGCCCTCAGTCTCCTCCAGGCTTAACAAGCCAAGTGACCTCAGCTGCTCCTCGCATGGCTTCCCCTAGTTGTCTAAAGACAACTAGAAAACTAGAAGTGTTTTGGCTTCTGTTTCTTACATGAAGTTTTAACAAGGAACAAAAAGTTGTTCCCTTTTGCAATCAGCTAAAGAGTAACAGTAAATCTTTCTGACAAGGTAAAAAGAAAAAAAAGACGCCTAAAGGATTTTCTTGCAGCAACAGAAAAAATCATCAAGCACTTTTTTAAAGTAGAATGAAATAAGGAGCTAGGAAGTTAGTGCTGTGGTCAGCAAGATTCTCCTCTCTGCTGAGGCCTGACAGTAGAGGAGGAACAATAAATGCTGTGCAAGAGAAGAAGGAACATTCTTCCAGCACAACAGAATTGCTGTCACTTTCCAATGTGACAAGCCAGAGGTGGTCCCTCAGAAAACATCAGCAGAAGCTGGCTCCAAACAGGAGGTTATCACTATAAATTTGCTTTTCAAACATGTATTGAACCCCCTAGGAGGAATACAGCTATTCGTGAGTGGTGATGTAATGCTTTCTTTGTTTGGTTTGGGTTTTTTTGTTTGCTTTTTCAAAAAAAACAAACAACCTACTGTTGCCGGTAGGTTGCATATTTTCATTATCTGATGTACTGCTGACTTACAAACTTGGATGCACATAATGAGGCAAAACCAGATGTGCAGCACCATAGGATTAAAACACTAAAAGGAAGATGACAGAGTGGAGCAGAAAGAGAACACGATATGGGGAAAGATGGAAATAAAAAGAAAAAAACTGAAGTAGCACAGAAGATTTATATTACAAAAAAAAAGTAGAGTGGAACAGGAACCAAATAGCTAGAAAATTGTTGAGATGAACTCCTAACTAGGAAGAAAAAATCAAGTAATAACAGTTATTAATCACTGTAGTAAAGAAAATTAATGCAAGGTTTAATGACTGCTGAGCAAATATTTTGACACCTAGCCTAATTTCATTAATATGACATAGACTGAATGTCGCTTTTCCAGTCTAAGGAATGCCAGCACTTTTTAAATTACCCTCAAATATATTTTTGAAGTGGACCATCTGTGGCATCCCTCCTTAATATTCAGTGTTTCTGATCTTCATATGTAAGAATAAATACAAAATTACCTCTTTGAGTTATTAAATACAATTCCATAGTTTAAGGACATTGCATTCAGTCTCCTTCAGTCAATCTGTTATATTCAGCATCTTTTGGTCTATGAACTCTGTGGTCTAACACATTTTTCTCTCTGCTCCCCTTCCCTCACATGACAATGCCAAAGCAGCACTCTCTTGTGCTGCAGCAGTCCCAAGGCTGTTCAGATAGTTTAAGAGTACTCTTGCAGCTCTGAAGGAATGGTGATCAAGCCAATTTAAATTGCGGTTTGGACAAAAAGTTCAGTATGGTTGAGGGGGCCTAACTGAAAGCTAAAGGGACTGACAGTCTGCTCCACTGAGGTGTAACTCAAGACATTTAGCTGCCATGTTCTCTGTTAATGAAAAGAACCCAAACAGCTGTATGTAGGAAGACAAAAATTGTTTATTCTCCAGCAAATGATGCAATCCAGTACGTCAAACAAAACCAAAATATCCAAGCCTGATATCTGGCTGCACAGCAGCACAACTTGCAATCTGGACACAGAGTGGATTAGATGCAAGTGCAAAGATGTACCAAGTACAATCAAATGCAAAAATCAAGCTCTAATGACTAGACTTTGCTGATGGCTGGCATTTTCTTCTACCACTCCATACCCCAGGATACTTTTGGCTAAAATTCTGACGGTGTTTTAAGCTAGAGCTGGCTTATAGTATTGGGAAACTTCTTTGAGATGGGTAGGATGGGACTGGAAGGAGAGAGGGAAGAAGAGAGAGACGAGAAGAGAGCCCAGTTCTGTGTAATCAGGAAGCTAAGAGAACATGGGTCATCCAGATGTCTACAGTCCTTTCCTGTAATTCTCCCCTCTCACAAATTCCATATTCATTTTCCTGAAATCAATAACATTTGCTATGAAAAGCCTTAGAGCGAAGGAAGTAGATATTCCCAAAATATTTAAAAATAGATTGCAAAATATTATTTTGAAATCCAGAGATATTTAAAACCTGTCCTCTTTACAGAGGACGAGGAGATTCAGGAACTGCTGAGATCAGAGTGCTTCGCTACTTCAGGAATAAAAAATACACCAGGAAGCAAGAGCGGCTGTTTACATGTCCAGAAGATGGGAGCCAGCCCGTTCCAAGTAACTACCTCTGCCCCATCCCAACTTCACAATTCCACCAAAAGTTAAATATTTCACTTATTCAGCTTATAAAAACCCTAAACGTCAAAACAGCCGAAAGAACAAGTAACGACATCCCAAGCCGGCCTACTCTAACACTTCTCCTTGGGTGAGCTACAGCAAATACCCTCAGCAGATTCCCAGGTGTCCCTACTTTTAGCAAGCCCGTCCTAACTTTCCTTTGGAAATCGCCGCTTTGGCGTAAGAGGGCAACACTGACCTTACAGACGCACATGAAACCGAGTGCAGGAGCGAGCAAGGACTTGTACAACACACCCGTGGCACAGCCCGTCCCGGCCGCGCCACAGGAGCCATTAGGAAGCCGCCGAGCCCGTGGGACAGCGGGACACCCCGCACATCCACACGCGCGGGTGTGAGGACTCGCTCGGCCTCCGGCGTGGGGAAGAGCGGCCGTCTCCCCCCCGCCATCCCCCGCAGAGGGCTGGGGGCGATCCCACCCACCGCGCCGTCCCGGCTTCCCTCCCGCCCCAGGCTCACCGGGTCCGGCGCCCAGGAGAGCTGCGCCAGGACGAGCAGCGCGGCGAGCACCAGCAGCGCCCGACCCCAGCTCGCCATCCTCCTTCCTTCCTTCCCGGCCCCGCTCCCTCGGCGCTTCCCGGAGCCGCGGCCACATGACATCGCCCCGCCCGGCAGGGACAGAACCCTCCCACCGCCCACACGGGCCGCCTCTCCATTTATAATACAGCAGCGGAGCCCATTTTCAGCCGCACTTCCACAAGGGGGAAGCTCCGTACAGGGAAATCCGAAATAAAATCGCGTCTCTTTGGAAACACTGAGAGCAAACCCGTGGCACCAGTTTTCACTTCGTAAATGCTGGGATTTTTAATTACTCTGTGTCCTTGGGAAGATTTTAGGCAGGCTTCGTGCTAAGGAGATGCCAGGCAGGCGCCTTCTTTAGGAAGACTTCTCTCTATCTTGCCTGCTTAGGAGTGCAGGAAACAGGCAACGGGGCAGACTAATGAGAAATACAGGACATGAGATGTATCCAGCCATAAGCACCTTGCGTGCTATTTGTTCGTTACTATACATAAATGGTATCTATTTCATAGAATCGTAGAATGGTTTGGGTTGGAAGGGACCTTAAAGATCATCTAGTTACACCTTCCCTGCCCTGGGCAAGGATACCACCCATTAGATCAGGTTATTGTAATATTTGTTGTAATATCAAGTACAAGTCAGCAGCCAAATAAAGTGCATACTTCAAATAACTTACACTAAAAGGGATCATTTTAGTGTGAGCAAATAAACATTTAATGATCATATACGTTAGCAACAGTTGTGGGAAGCACTATGACAAAATACTCAAAACCTTCTGGGATGCCTTGTGTTTTAGCTTGTGTCATGTGCTTTATGTAGTGACCAAGATGTGTCATGTGTTCTTAGGCACACACAGAAGAAAAGTGATACAGTCTTTAATATCATGACTTAATTGCCTGTGCAATTAACTGTCTTACAAAACAAACGGGGGGTGTCAAGAAAAAGAAGGGAAGTCCTTGGCAGAAGGTTGTTTGGAAAGCTGCAAGGAACTGCAGAAATTAAGAAACAGGAAGGATAAAATAAATGTAATGTGGGAAAGCCTTGGGTGAAGGGAGGGAATGCAAGTGGGTAGGAAGGAGCCAGCTCAGAGCATAAGCTGGGAAATTGCACAGAGCTTTAGAGACCAAAGCAGAAAAGCATTAAGCACTGGTAAAAGAAGATAGAGAACCAATCTGTGGATTTAGAAAACAAGGAAAATTACAGCATAACAGGATAAACCTTGAGATTTTCACAGGAGTGCTCTTTCAAAAATAGGAAATCAGGCAGTTTCTATAGGATCTGGAAAATATTTTCAGTTGAAAACAAGTACATATAAGACAAAAATCCTGTATTTACTTGCAGATATCTGAATATACTATTATGGACTATGGTAGAAAAAGTGTGATTAAGTTGGTCCTGTTATTTTCTAAACATCTGCAGCCCCTTTTGCTCATCTTTTACTTCTGGAGTAGACAGCTTTTAGGGATTTTACTACCTTTGTCTAGATGCTTTATCATCTTTAGTACATTTTGAAGCCTCTTTGTGCTTCTGGTTTAGTTCTTCCACTGCTAAAGAAACTCTCAGTTTAAGAAATAGTCAGCATCTTCAGTAGCCATGTTTCTCTGACTATGGATATTCTGCTGTATTCCTATCAGAATGTCTTGTCTCCAGGGTCCACTCCAAAACTTTAGGCCCTCGATTTTGTTGCCTAGGTTTCTTCTGGCTGTTTTCAAAAGTCTAAGTCAGAAGAAAAAAGCTTCTTAAGATATGCAGTTAACTCGCTAACTGTACTAAGACACCTGGTGTCACTCATACCTAGAATTTATGTCCACCTTCTGCTTTCTCATACTCACCTATCCAGTACTGTATTACCACTCTCCAGATCTCTTCCTTCCTCCAGAAGCAGAGGCTGCACAAATTACTTCCCCTTTTCTGTTTTAGTTAAATTAAAGCTCCTTGTGCTAACAGTACTGCCAGGACACATCTCCAAGATGACTCCATGAATATCTCCAATGGGAAAATATCCCAATGGGATATAGCATCAGTTAAATATACGGATCTTCACTGTTGTGTCATACCTTTGATTTCATTTTCCTGGGATCAGATTTCCAGTGAATTTCCCATATCACTGTTTCTGTGTATCTCAGAACATGTTTTAGCTAGAATCTAGTATATCATTAGTCCCAACACAGAAGGCAACCCCATTGCTACTATAATATCCTTATTCCCTGCAAGGCTGCCAGTCCCTCGCCAATTCTAGTACTTCCTCCTCTACTTGAGGCAGTCTCATTTCATTTGCTCTGCCATTTCTTTTTGCTTCACTTATTCCTAGCCCTATAACAAAGATGCCTCTCAGTTCTGTTTCTTCTTTACTAGCACTTAGAGCACCTGCACCTTGCATCTCCTATTTACACTAAAATGAAGGGAATTTTCCATTTACAGGGGTAATCCTCAGGCTCTTATTCAGCTGCTGAGTACTCCTTTCAGAATTCTTCTCACCAGCATAGATTTCTGCTTCCAGATGCATCCACATTTGAAGTAATCATCTTTCTGAGTTCTACCAGACAAGTTTTTATTCAAACAGTAGATTCTTGAAAGAAAAACAGATGCTGTAATATCAATCTACTTCAACCATCAACATTCACTTCAGATGTATTTAAGATTCACAGTGACTGTGGATCAATGACACCTGCAATGAACTGTCCAATAAGGTCATTCTGGCCTGCAGCCTGCTCCTTGCAGTGCTGCCTCTTGCTCAGTGTTTCTGGGAGTAGTTTTGGCACTAGGCCACTTCCACGTCCATGATGTTGTAATGGTTGTACATCAGGTTACTTACATTTCTGGGGAGGGACATGTAGCGTGGTACCTACAACAAGAACTAGTTAATGAGCCCTAATCCCCAGTCCTAAGCCAAACTAAGGAGCTCTGGAGAAAAATTAATTATGGTTTTGTTTTTTTTTTTTTTCTCTGATAGAACAGCTCACAGCTATGCTGCATTTTCATCCAAGAATTCCTCAGACTGGCCAGGAACATTTGCCAACAATCATCTATTTATTTCTAGCTCTTAGCCTTCTCCCCATAAATTCAGCACTCACACCTCTGTCAGACCCTGAGCATGTGCAGTGTATCTTTACCAACAGTACAGGAACTCAAAATATGGCCTTTACACAGTGTGGAAAAGACAACATAGCCCTCTTCTTTACATTAAGTCACAGAGCATACGGACACACACAGCAACTGAAAAGCCCCTAAGCTACATATACAATCAGTTCATGTACTTGACCCTTTCTGCTATTGGTAAAAAGCTATGCCTACATGGCTCACCCATTAATGAGGTGTTGATTTTTATTTGAGGGCAAGATCACTAAAAGCCAGGGAACTTTCTCTCTGGACTAAATCAGTGTAGTCTGTCTCCCAGGGCTTAAGGTATATGGCAAACAGTTTGCCATTGGTAATTGATATACCTTTAATTTTTCTTGAAGTCATTCCCTTAATACAAGTCAAATATGCACAAGTGATACAGTTAATAAGATTTTATAACTGGGTTATCAATATGTGAGAAAATTTTAATACAATTCTGAAGATACTTAACAATTACTTAAATAAAAAAATTATAAAATATTTTACTCTTGTTTTCAATTTGACCCTGTCAAAGATGCAGAAGAAAATGGACCAGCTGGATGTCACTTGCAGTATCTATCCGCTTTCACTTTTGCTCTCCTATATGAAAAGAATGAATGAAAGAAGATTTAGATTAAGACCAAATACAATTACACCTGAGTGTTTTAGCTGTCTCAAAACATTAATAATAGCCCAGGAGTGTTCTCACATCACCTGCAATTATCAGAAATAGTTTTCTGCATTCTGCCCACTGAATTAATGCAAATATTTATACCATATACTGGTACAAAAGGCTTTAAAAATTCAAGACAGTTTCTAAAGCCTCAGCTCAGGGAGAAAAAAAAATATTCCCACCAGATAACACAATGATAGTCCTAATAAACGCTATTTCTCTTTAAAATGCAACTTCTGTCTCTCCAAAATGTTCTGGGGTATTGAAAAATGTTAAAAATTAGCTTAATTTTTAGGATTAAAAAGATTAATCCCTCAATAACTCTGCAGTAAACACATTGAACAACCTGAATTAATTTACAGTCCAAACCTGCTAACTTCAGCTAAAGAAGTGAAAATTCAGATTAAAAAAAAAATAATAAAAAAAAAAAGCAACCCCAGAATTCAGGCACAACACTCACCACAGAAGAAATGCTCAACAACCCGCCTGGAATCTAGCCCTCTTTTGTCCCCCAGGTTTACTGTAATTCCATCTCCCAGTAGTTTTTTTAATCAGTACGATATTTCTTGTATTTTGAAGTACCTGTCAAGCAGCATTTCATGAAAAGTGCCTTCTTTCCTGGCTTTTCTAAGAGCTTTTGTATCTTCTTTGCTTATTTTAAGTTTTTTGTCTTGAAAACTTTGGAATTTCTTTCTGTAAAGGGGAGAAAAAAATAAAAAGGAAAATGTCTAAAATTTTGTGTTTCAACAAAACAACAGTGATAAGAGTCTTAGTTTCTATTATGCAGCAGACAACTGGCCTAATAAAATTCAGCAAACCATCTCAGTACTACGGTTGCACTAAGGCTCCTGTAGGTGAAAACTATTCAGGTTTTATTTTTTGTTTTGGCAGTCTAAATAGGAACGAGCCCCTGTGTGGTCAGGAATTCTAAAGAGCCCCGTCTTCAACTACTAGCATAAGAAATCAGGGAACAAAAGTGTATTGGATGTAGGTCGCAAGGTGCTGACAGTGGGGGGAGCTGCAGGGAGTTTTCTCTGTGAGAAAAGGCCAGGAGCTGCCCTGTGCTGTACAGAGCTGGCTCTACAACACACCCACTACAGGACACAGCCAAGTCCCATCAGCAAAGCTGGTGGCGCCTCTATGAAAGTGTATTTAAGAAAGGGCAAAATGCCACACAGGCAGGGGAGAACAGAAAAAAGCCCAGAATTGGAAAATGGCAGTGTGAACATCAAGGACAGAGAAAAAGAGGGAGGAGATGCTTCAGGCACTGGAGCAGATATTACCTTTCAACTCATGGATAAGACCATGACAGAACAGGGGAAAAGTGAGAGAGGAAAGGAGTGGCTGAAAGAAACCAGTGTGTATTGACTCATACCCCATCCTGCTTTGGGGAGCAGGTAGAGGAATCTGGAGTGAGGGTAAGCTTGGGAGATGGGGAAGAAAAGGTGGTATTTTTAAATTTTGTCTTTATTAGTACCAAAATCCATTTAGCAGGCAACAAATTTAAGTAATTTTTCACTGTTGGGTCTGTTGCCTGTGACAGCATCTGCTACATGATCTCCCTGTCTTTATCTCAACCCATGAGCTTTCTCCTCCTATTTTCTTCCCTTGTCCTGCTGAGGAAAGAGCAAGTGAAAGGCTGGGTGGGAGTTTGGCCCTTTCACCAAAGATAGCCCCAAGGAGAAGTGAAAAAAGGTACTTGAGCCTGTTACCAGCTCTAAAGTACGTACACATAATTGATTTCACACTGTTTAACGTTTCCTTTGTCTTCTTGTGGAACTTCATCTTTCTTCTTAGCTTCTCTTTCAGCACAAGTACGAATCTAGTAATTGAGAAAAAAACCCAAAACAACCAAAACAAAAAACACCTATATTATGAAATTGTAAGCTACAGGTTAAAGATGACAACATATCCTTCATGACAGAATGAGCCACAGTGACTTTTCAAGTTCACAGCTTTCTAACTGGTTAACTAGAGACTACTGCAATCAAAGCAAGAGCTGCCTGAAATATGGGGAATATTAAGTGTAATCCTTAATACTACTGTGAGACATAATTGCCTTCATCTCAAAGGAGCACCATTACAGTTCTTAGTTTTGGCACAGACAATTCAGAGATTGATCTAAAAATATTATTGCTCTGACTAGTAGACACCTACCTCTGTGTGGAGAGACACATATATTTTCCATGTTCGGATAAAGTCAAGATAGTCTTTTTAGATTTTCCTAAAAGATCTCCCCTTCTGCATCACTCTGATAAATCCTTCTCTGTCCCTGATTCAGTCATAATTCATCTCTTCCATACTAAGCTAATTAGAACTACACGGAATATCACATAGACTGTCTTGCCCTTTAACATCTTGCCCTTCTGGAGTGGTAGAATATCTTCCTATCTCTACTGGAAGTACTGAGAATTTATGCAGCCTTGGTGCTCATTTACCTTTCTTGTGGCCAAATCACTTGACAGCTTACAGAAAGCAATTATAACTGTATTAACAGTAAATTGTGGCACAGAGACACCTGCTTGTTTGAATATCCCTCCCAATCCTGTATTAATGGTAGAAGTTAGTGATTACCTTTATCATTTCTTCTTCCCCTGCAGTTTTGCTTTTGGCTTCTATATCTCCCTCTTCATTACATCTAATAAAACGGCTATTTGCTGCTAGTAATGCCATTTTCTTCTGCAGAAATAACATCCCACATTGTTAGAATAATGAGATTGTACATAATCCTTGATTCATAACATTTATCCTCTACAATACATCAAAAATCTCTGTAAATGTGTTTTATTCTGTTATGTATGGGTACTTCAATAGCTAGCCAGAAGACTTGCTGGCTTCTCCATTCTTAAGATGCTTATAGCTGCCAAAAAGCAGTAACTTGAAATATTTTAAGAACTTCCCATTATAGGAAATGCACTGCAGTTGGGAAAACATAATATTAAAAGTTACAATATGAAAGAGACTGCCAAATGGTTTTACTTCACAGTCAAAAAGTATCAGCATAGATTAATTCAAAATACAGTCAAACACTGGGAATGTCAAATGAACTTTTCCAAATAGCTTACATCTTGGAAGACAGGTTCCCATTGCTCTCTTGATCCTATTGCATCGGAACGTCCAACAACGAGTCCATCTGAATTTATACCAAGATATTTGCCATAACCAGATTTCAGAGCAATCCTCAAAGAGAAAGTGCAGGAAAAAATAAACAATGTTTTTAATTTATGCAATTCCCAACATCCAAGTTACCACAAACACATTTATTATTAGACAATGTATTTAAAGAGAGTATTAAAACATGTATTCACACAGAAAACAAAGACAGTTATCAAACAAAACTTGAAACACTGCTAAAGGAATTACCTTGTATCAGACAACTTTACTGCTGTAAACTGCTCAGGAGGACTAGGGCCTTCGTCATCTGAGGAATGCATTTTCCATTAGTTAAGTATGAAGTATTAAACATAAAATATTTTAGCCTATTAATACTGCAATTTCAAACATTGACCATTGCTAAATACTATTCTTTAAAATTCTCCTTTTTTGAGAATTCACAGTTAAAAAAGCAATGCAGGTGCTCATTTATGTTCATGTATTTAGAGTGCTTAAAACAAGACATAAAATAAAGATGATCCTTGCATAAAGAAATTTGCAGTTGAGAATGTTTTATAATTCTCCTGGCGGCTTTGAAAACCTTAACTTCCTTGTAATGTTACTTTTTTCTTAACAAAATGCATTATGGTTCAAGCTATTGTAACTCAGCTCAGTATCCTAAAAGCTACTAGCCTCTCCATCCCTCAAAACCAAAATGAGAGAATATTGCCATCACTGGTTTGATCTCATCCTGGAGGTGAAACATACACACTGTCAGGGTTCTGGAATAGTCTGTGCCTGAGTGATGGCTCTCAAATTCAAAGAACAAGCTAATTATCCCAGCACATCAGTAGCTCTCTTGTGCAGTGACAAAACAAGCATATTGAGAGAAGATGCAGCAATAAGCCTTAAAACTCATCTGCCTTGAATTTCACTCTTCAAATGATGCCATAAAGATTTTATAGGATTTAATAAAAATTATACTGCTTTTTATCCAGCAAGTGGTATGGCCTTTAACAGGTAATCATCTCCAATGCAGTTCAATTTATTATACACATAAACCATGGAGAAACTAGATGAGTGAAACTGATTGGTAGTCATTAGGTTTAAGTCATCTGCATGCTTCATCTATAACTACTGCATTTGTAGTAAACTGCTTTTAGCTGTAAAACTGCTTGCCTTTAAGTGATGCTAGTTTTAAGCTTTTAGGCATTTCATTGTTCAAACTGCTTATTTTCAAATTTTCTGGAACAAACCTTTATGTGGTGCTCCAAGTGTAAACAAGCCATTGTCAAGGGCGTGGATGTAAGCTCCTTTATCCATTTCTATAGCTATAGTTCCTGTAATTTCACCAAAATTACTGATAGCCCACCAATTTCCTGTAATACAAAACCATGACAGTTTATTAACCAAGTAATCCCAACTTCTGATTACAGCAGTTCAAGAGATGATATATATGTGTCTTCTCTGAAGAATTTGAAATTCTAAAGATAAAATTTCGATTTGCTATCTTGAGATCTGTGTGCACTATTTTATAGTCCAGAGCCAGTTTAATGGTGAATGGGGTTGCTGCTGCATCAGAAAGTCCTGCTCTTATCCCTACCCTGTCATCCCTAGTTACAAGCTCCTGTGCTTTATCACTTTTTTCTGTTACTCTATAGAGCAAGTTGATTTATTCAGATGACACAGCAAAGAAACACCTTGCAAAGAAACACCTTTTTCCCCCCTCTTGATCAGTCTCCTGCAGTTTTGGGGTCATATCCAATCATTATTAAGTACTCCAGCAAAACAGAAGCAAATACGCTATTTCATCTTGCTCTTAAATTACTTCATGTGAGCTGTAATCCTGAGACTTCAGTTGTTCAAGCCAATCTGTGTTTGAACATTTGAGTCCCACAGAATCCTACCAAAGTTAAAGGTAATCCTAGCCATGAGCATGACTCAGAATTATGACTTTTATATTTTTTTGAACAGTAAAATTTTCTCCTTGTATATTGTCTTAAAAATATTTCCTACCTGATTAAGATAATAAGTACTTTCAATTATTCAATCTGAATATGGTGTCTTTTTTCCACATGATAAATTTGTCAAGTTAATCTGCCATGAGCAGAAATAACCTTTTCCTGTCTTTATACAATACACAGAACTATTTGTCTTGTCCTACATAGTCAGGGATCACAGATCAATGTATGAATTTTCCAAATTTCTCCCACTTTTTCGAAATCTGGCTAAACTAAAGAGTACAGAATATCTGTATCATTCTTCTAATGTAAGACACAAGAGCCCATTTTCTCATAATTTGTTTTTAACACAGGAACAAGGATGACTTCCCCCTGCCCTACTTTATCTTATGCTTATATACACATAATAAAAAAATTATCTTTATCCTGTAACGTGCACTGTGCTACAAAACACCTCTGTATCTCTCACGATTTTGTGGTTCTTTCTAGCTGTTTTTGTTTTTGAAGTGAACTGTCATCAATCAAGAACATAACAGTGCCAAGAGGCAACACTGTAAAGTTATTGTTCATGACTGTACACACTTTGATCATTCTATTTTACGAAAAAGTAGTTATGAGTAGTTACATTTTATTACTGGTTAATGTTTGTGTCTTCAGTTTCAATTTAACTCAATAAGTAACTGCATTACAGTGCTTAAAAGTCTCTCCTCCTGCAGCAAATACCACTGGGGGGTGGTGGTACTGGAGGAGATATTCAATCTGATAAGCACTTTCGGATTATCTAAGAATATATTTAGCTAAAAAAAAAAAAAAAGTGGAAAATCCATCCCATTGGCATCAGAAGTTCCATTTGGAGTCTAGAAAGATCCCAATATACAAATAACATGTTGTGAGAAATAGTTATAAATCTCTATAGGAACTACACTTAGTTTACAAAGTCCTATAACAATCTCTTTAGCTTCTGCTATATCCCCTACAGCTTCTATTCTGTCACGTAACTCCCGGAATATTGCTCACCAACAATATCAAGCTGCTCTGCTGCATCCTCCTCCCTTTTCCTTTTCTTCTCCTTGTGCTTTTTCTTGCTGCAAGGAGAGATGCAAAGAAATGAGAACGAGCCTCCGGCCCGGCACTTTCACCCCTCTCTCTCACGGCCTCCCGCCCAGGCCCTGACCGCAGCCGAGAGCCCAGGGCCCGACCCCCTGTCCCGGCCGGGAGCCGAGGGGTTCCCGCCGCCGGGGGTCGGGAAGGGGCGTGCGGGGCAGCACGGCGGGCAGTGCGGGGAGCCCCGGGCTCCCTGACCCGCGCTGCGGCAGCCGCTGGCCCCGGGGAAGGGCGGCGCGGCAGGCGGCCCGCTCCTCACCTCTTCTCTTTCGACCCTTTAAGGACGAGCTTAGTGGATTTAACGCAGGAATACTCCGCCATGTCGGGAAGCGCCGGCGGACAGCGCCGGCTCCGCCCCGCGCCCGGGCGGAAGCGTTCGGTCCGCAGCGCTGCTTCCGCCGGGCGGGGAGCAGGGACCAGGGACCGGCGGTGTCGGTGTTGCCGCGGAGCACGTTCGGGTTGCTGGACACGGAATTTGGGAGGCGGGGGGTGGTGGCAATAAAACAAGAAGAGTTTAAAATTACGTTTAAGAGCCTGTCCCTCAGCACCTTCCCCTTCGGAGTCTGGCTTGGCTCCCTGAGTTGCTGCAACGCTTTGCAGGACTGCAGGCAAAGAGCGCTGAGGAACTTAGCGCTCAGAGCTTCCTCTGCAGCCTGCGCGTGTGTGTAGTATAAAACGTGTAATGGGCATCAGCAGAGCCCTGGAATGTGATCCCTCTGCCGAGGGCACCAGACCTTGCCTCAGTGGCGGTGTTACACGAGGTGGGGTGCCTGGCAGTGCTGGTGCGGGAGCAAAAGCTTCGAGGGAAGCAGATGAAGACGAGCTGAGGAAATGAAGCTTGTAAACCAACAAAGTGCACCAAGCTAGGGGCAAAATGAGGTTTAAGACAATTTTTTCCCCATCTTGTTAGCCACTTGGTATTCCACAGAATAAAATCTACCTCAGGGTTTCCCCTGGGGATATAAAACCACATAACCATTTTTCTCACATTTTTAAGATACCAATAATCCTTCTTTGGGGAGCAGCCTTACTAGCACATGTGTGATTAGAATCCCTATTACAGCAGTAATTTGTGTTTAGTCCTTTGCTGTTTCTACTCCACAGTAGTGAAGTGGGGTTTGTGCCCAAAAGGCTGTCTGCTGACTACCATAGCTGGTCAAATGAAAAATACCATCCCTATCAAATCTTGTCTTACAGGTACACATACAGAGATTGTATTCGATTGCTTCCTTCTGGTTTCTGAGTTAATTTCCTATCTACGCTTGCAAGTTCTCAGTACCTAAAATGTATCTTCTACAAATAAGAAATGAGAGTCTTATACATGGCTCTGTAAAGGCTTTCAAAATCACCGAAAGCATGGCCTGGTGATAAAGCTTGGCATGTATGAAGTCCCAATGAAACTAACCCTGCAGTTGGTGAACGACTGCAGGTCATTCCACAGATACTTTAATTGGATCTTTATTTACTCTGCCTTTTTTCACCAAAATCCTTTGAATTTCTCTCTGCATGCCTAAGATGATGAACCCCATATTTTTGTCTGTGAAGCTGGAGTGGTTACACCTGCTATATTAAAATGAAAGCAACAGTAATGGACTTCTGGGAGTTTTTGGCAATTCCCTCATTTTGGAGCTTTGGGGAGAAGGTGGTCAAGAGTAAGCATTGGGCTTGTCAGCAAAAGCAGTACCTGAATCAAGCTGCTGGTGCATGTGAATTCAGGATACTTTTTTTGTGTGTGTCTCAGGCATGCTACTTCCCTACTAGTGTCTTCATCTGTTGCGGTTTTTCACTGGAAGACAGTCATCTCCTTGATCAGTGTTTGGGAAGTGGATAACTTAAAGCAGTGTGTTGCTGTGGTAGACAGTATGTTACTTGACTGATTTATGGACTTACCAGTCCCAGGAACTTGCATCTTGCAATTGTTTATTCGAGTAAAAGCTGAAAAAATAGGTAGAATTGAAAGCTGCAGACAGTGATGGACAGCTTGCTGGTCTCTGCATGGAGCTGTAATGAGGGAAGTATTGCATTAGCAAAGTCTTGCATCAAATCAGGTTGTGAAGGTCCTATACATATTTGTCTATGTGAAGGATCAGAGAAGATCCAGATTTCCAGTACAGGATTGAATATATAGCTGGACTATTAGCAATCTGTTCTTTTATTTCAAACTCACCCTCAAGTACATTCTATTTTCTATTCTCATGTTTCTAGAGATTATTGCCTGAATTGTTGAAAACTTTTGATAGTGTCTTAGAATTTTGTAACCAGTAATAGAGTGGTTGTTGGTTAGTTTGTTTCCTTGTTTTTGTTGGTAGATACAATGGCTTGTTTGCTGATGAAACATTTTATAATCATAAAATCATAATCACATGGTTTGGGTTGGAAGGGACATTAAAGATCATCTAGTTCCAACCCACCTGCCATGGGACCAGGTTGCTCAAAGCCCCATTTGACCTGACTTTGAACATTTCCAGGGCATCCACAACTTTTCTTGGCAACCTGTTTCAGTGTCTCACCATCCTCACAGTAAAGAATTTCTTCCTAATTTCTAATGTAAACCTACTCTTTCTCAATTTAAAGCCATTACCCCTTGTCCTATCACTACATGGCCCTATCCATGTCTCTTGTAAAAGTCCCTATCCAGCTCTCTTTAGGTACTGGAAGTTGCTCTAAGGTCTCTCTGGAGCCAACTCTCTTAGCTTTTTCTCATAGGAGAGGTGCTCCTGCCCTTTGATTGTCTTCATGGCTCTCCTCTGGACTTGCTCCAGCAGGTCCATGTCCTTCTTATAATGGGGGCCCTGGAGTTGGACACAGTACTCCAGCGGGGTCTCATGAGATCAGAATGAGAGGGGGAGAGGTACCCTCTGTGACTTGGGCTGTGTGGCTGAAGCACTTGCTGGTGAAGACCAAGGCAAAAAAGTTGTTGAATACCTCAGCCTTCTCCACATTTCGGGTAACCAGGTCTTCCATTTCCTTCTGGAGAGGGTCCACATTTTCCCTAGTCTTTGTTTTATCACTGATGCACCTATAGAAGCTTTTCTTGGTGCCCTTGACATCACTGGCCAGATTTCGTTCTGTCAGGGTTTAGATTTCCTGGCCTGATCCCTGACTACTCGGTCAATTTCTCTATGTTCCTCTCAGGCTACCTGTTGCTTCTTCTGCCCTCTATAGGCTTCTTCTTTGTGTTTGAGTTTGTCCAGGAGCTCTTTGTTCATCCATGCAGGCCTCCTGGCACTTTTGCCCAGCTTCCTCTTTGTTGGAATGCATCGCTCCTGAACTTAGAGGAGGTGATCCTTGAGTATTAACCAGCTTTCTTGGGTGCCTCTTCACGCCGGGGCTTTATCTCATGGCACTCTACAAAGAGGTGAAAATCCTTTCTCCTGAAGTCCGGGGTAATGAGCTTACTATGCTCATTCCTTCTGGCTGCCCTGAGGAACTTGAACTCCACCATTTCATGGTCACCGCAGCCAAAGCTGCCCTTGAGCTTCACATTCCTTACCAGCTCCTCCTTGTTGGTGAGAACAAGGTCCAAGCACAACACCTCCCCTTGCTGGCTCTTCTGTCACTTGGAGGAGGCAGTTCTCCTTTTAGCCAATATATTTGTGTCTCTTCAAGCTAATTGCTCAACACTGAGCAATTTTAGCAAATGTGATTGTATATGACTCTTATCACTAAATACCTGTTTTGCTGGTTCTAACAGATATGCCTATCAGGCAAATATTTTAGTAAAGGGAGTAAGAAAACGGAGAAAGCAATTACATCAGAATTAGAAAAAAGCACAGAGGAGATGAGTGAAGCAAAAAAGAATGTCAGCATGCTGATCACTCAGCAATCCTAGCATACTGACTTGCCATTCAGTGCTTATTTTGTGGTTTATTTTGAATTCTTTTTAGGTTTTGATTCTGTGGAGAGCAAACCTGCAGGAATTCTTTATTGTTTTCTTAACTGTACTGTAACTTTACAACTTTATTTATGATAGGTTATTATTTTTTGACTGCTCAACTGTGCAACCTTAGTATTTGCAGAGTATTTGTACACTTTTGTCAAAGTGGGCCACTGTCCACTGATACACCATGACTAGCACTTCATAGTACGCAAGTGGTTGCCTGAGAGGTCATATGAGAGAGGAAAAGGTAAGAATATAAAGCATTTATAAGAGATTTAATACCTTAAAAGTTATTAGGAATTATCTAACTTAGATATTTAGGTTTTTATTATTAACTTTAAAAAAACCAAGAACAATTAAAGCAGTTTAATGTTTATTGTATGATGGAACTACATTTTGCTATTTGTCCACCAGATGCTGCTATAGCCCCAAAAATAAATGCAGAGTAAGAAATTGGAAAAAAATAAGAAGTAGTTTTTATTTTCATTACAACTCACCCTTACATATTGTGATGCTGGAAAGAATTACACACGTGCTTATGTTTTGTGTAGGGAATAGTCCCAGTGAGTTCAATTAAGCAGCTCATTCTGTGTAAAGTCAGTTGTGGTTGTAAGCTTTCTTAGGATGGGGATGTATCAGTTATGTTTACTATCTTCTTAATTTGCTGTTTCCTCCATTATGAAGATAACGAGGGAAAGACAGAAGGACAGAGACAATACATTTCTTATTTTAATAGAAATGTGGGGTTTTTTTTCAGGCTTTCATAATGTAAAATATATTTTCTTGTTGATGAGTATAATTTTATTTAAAATTCTTAAATTTAGTGACTACAGCAAGAAATAGGCAGCAGTAAAGTATATGCAGACGGTGGCAAGACCTTTCCCTGCATGGCAAAGCAATGGCATCAATCAGAAAACTGTATCTAAAATGGTACCACTTTAGAAAACTATTTAAACTCTAATTTGCTAGTTAGTATTTTTGAAATTAAAACATTTCCAATATGTCCTGGCTGTGATTGTTTAAAAAAAAATAACAGTTGTTTTTCTTTATGGCAATGGAAATAAATGGAGCAATTGTAGAAAACAAATCACTTTTTTAATGACTAGATTTTCCTGCCAGCTTGGAATTTGCCGCATGTGCATTTTGTTTTGAATGCCTAAAGAGTGAAATCATTTGCCATCTCTCATGCAGATGGGGCAGATTGGCTGAGGTGTCATTTGCAAAATGTGCACTTGCATCATTCGCGTTTGAAGGGGATCATTACAAGCAATGTTTTCCATAGACACTCAGGATTGATGGAAGTGGAGGGCTGAGACTCGGCGTCCGTGGATATAGTCTAGTGTCATAAAAGCCTGGACCAAAACTGAGGTGCTTTGGAGTTTTCTCTCATCTTGTTTATTTATGCTAGGAAATATTAAAATACCTCCCCAAACCAGAGAAACTTGAATTAGCTCTCTTGATAGCCAAGTTGGCAGAT